CCTTTGCATAAACTCAATTGTAAGAGCTGTTGTTTATGTCCCAAATATATTTTCATTTGTGAATACAGCATCAAAACTTCCTATGGAATTGATTCTAATGATACTTCTAAATGCAGCATATAAAAGAATTCCTTTATGTAACTGTAATTTAAGTATCAAATAAGGGATCTCATGTGTAACCAGTGTCTAATTGACCATCTTGACAGCCTCTTTGTGAAAAATTTAGTAAAATATCTGACCAGGCTTACTGTGAATTACCATTACTATATTAGCTGTGGTCACATTGAACTTAGTTTTGAAGAAGTACTTACTGAATCTGAAAAATGATCCTTGGAATTTCCCAAAAGTTCTACTGTTATTACTTTCTTAAAAATCAGAATTTAATAGAATTCCTGTTATATTGTAAACTCAGGGAAATGAGGCCATATAAGTAACCAAGGAGGTCTTACTCCCTCAGCTCATATTGTCTGTCTAGATGTTACGTGTTTATTATTTTCTACTAGAAGGAGGAATTTCTTACAGGCTTTTTAAAAAGGGGACACCTTTAATTTTTATATGAAAATTGGATAATAAAATGTGTTTTGCTAAGCTGTAAATTTGTCGTAGATGTAGACAAAAGTATTGGAAAATATTAAGCGTGACTGTTATTCAGAGAACTTTCTACAGTATTTCACCTTTAAGAGGTCATTCAAATTAGTCCTAATTAATGCTATGGGCATTTTTGGTTATTCTGTAATTTTAAATTGTGTTTTTTGTATGTGTAAACCATTTGAGAAAATTGGGCACATTAAATAAGACTTTTTCCAGTTTTAAGCAGCACAGTATCTGCTTTCTTATCTAAGTAAATAGATTTATTTGCTTGTAAAAGTTATTTTGTCATCTGTGAACTCTGACTGACTGGTACCTTTGATTTAAGAATTCAGTATATTTGGAATTAAGATAAAGAATTTAATCCTTGTTGAAAACCTATAGTTTTATTTAAATTTTGTGAAAATATGTAGTTGTCATAGCCTTCTACTATTTACCAAGCCTGATGAGCAGCTATTAATAATGAATGACAGACCTCAAAGAAAATAAGATTATTTGCTATAATTTACAGAATGGATTCACTTTGCCTCAGAAGAGTTGTTTGTTGAACTGATGATGCAGGCTGTATAAATCAGTATATTAATTTATTACCTAAGCACAAGACACCTGTTTCCTGATCTTGAAACAGATTGAAGCTCATTTTAGAAAAATGTTCTTGATTCAGGAAAGAAGTTTGTTGAGAGACAGTAAGAAGATTTTGAAAGAAACTTCTGGGTTTTGTTTTCACCTGATAAAAACTCCTCAGTTCTACCAAGATGATACCATTCTGCTACCCAAGTAGCTTAAGCCGGGGCTACTTACATGCTAGTGTGCATTTCACTAGATTAGCAGCTCTCCTACTTTCGGGTCCACACCGTGTACTCTCACGAACTATTGAAGATCCTCAAGGAGTTTTGTTTATGTAGTTTTATCTACTCATTTGTGTATTAGAAATTAGAACTAGATAATTGAAAGCTGTATATTTATTCGTTAAAGTGACAATGAACTCTATTGCATATTAAATAGCACATTTCAATGAAAATAGCTATATTTTTCCAAACAAAATAGGGGAAAAATGGTATTGTTTTATAGTTTTATAAATATCATTGATACTGGCCTAATAAAAGATAGTTGGATACTTATACCTACTTCTGCTTTCAAGCTCTTGCAGTAATTTTTTTTCGGTTAAAGTATATGAAGAAAATCAGGTCCCACAAATATGCAGTTGGAAAGAGGAGGAGTATTTTAATAACCTTTTCAGATAATTGTGGGAACTCTTATTTGAATACCACACCCAAATTTAATAAATAGTCTTTTCTTAAAGGTTAGTTGCAGTGTGGAATCTGTAAACACATCAGTGTACTTTTCATACTTTGTTACATTAATATTAACTGTTATATTAGATTAACTGTGTAATCTTTTAAAAATTTTTTTATTTACTTATTTTTAGAGAAAGGGAAAGGGAAGGAAAAAGGGAGAGAAACATCAATGTGTGGTTGCCTCTCACACACCTCATACTGGGGACCCAGGCATGTGCCCTGACTGGGAATTAAACCTATGACCCTTTGTTTCACAGGCCTGTGCTCAATCCACTGTGCTACACCAGCCAGGGCAGATTAACTGTGTAATCTTGAGCAATTTATTTAATCCCTCAGTGCCTCAGTTTCCTTATTTATAAAAGGTAGAATATTAGTACTCACCTGCTACTAATCTTGGAAAGTTTACACAAATTAACATGTACAAAATGCTCAAAATAGCATCTGGCATATAATTTTTTGAAGTAAATGTTAGTTACTATGATTATTACCCCCTTGGTTCTGACCTTAGTTGCTGTCATTATATCTGTAAAACTTTCTTCTGTATCAGATTTTTCCAAAACCTGTCTCTCCTTTCATTGCCTCATTGATTCAATCTAAAAAGACATAAAAAAAAGTGAGATTTGGATGATTTACTACATTTGAAGAGAAACATTAATCACATTTACAACTTCTCTACAGAATAAGAAATTCTTCCAGACCAACAGACTTTAAATAGAATAACAGAAGGTAATCTGGCACAGGGTGCTGCTGTGTTGGGGAACTCATTTCTATTTCTGTTTTATCTCTTGAACAGCACTGCTAATGCTATCTTTTTTTCTTCAAGATATCTTTGTTTAAAAAAAAGACTTTGCTTTCTGGAGCAGTTTAACATTCACAGCAAAATTGAGCAGGAAGTACAGAGTTTTCATATACTTCCTGCTCCCAAAACAGCTTGCCATACTGTCAATATTCCTTACCACAGTGGTACATTTGTGACACTTGATGGATGACTACATTGATTTGATACATTATTATTACCAAAAGTCCATAATTTTACATTACAATTCACTCCTGGTGTAGTATCATCATACAGAATAGTTCCACTGCCCTAAAAATCCTGTGTTCTGTCTGTTCTCCACAACACCCCCAACTGCGGGCAACCACTAGTATTTCCACTGTCTTCATAGTTTTGCATTTTTCAGGATGTCATATAGTTGAAATCATACCATATGTAGCCCTTTGGAATTGGTGTTTTTCACTTAGTAACGTGCATTTAGGTTTTCTCCATGCCTTCTCATTGCTTGATAGCTCATTTCTTTTTGGCACTAAATAATATTCCACTGTGTGGGTGTGCCAGTCTATTTCTCCATTCACCTACTAGAGGATGTATTGATTGCTATAAATATTCATGATCAGGGTTTTGTGTGAACATTGTTCTCAGCTCCTTTGGGTTGAAAACCAAGGAGCACAATTGCTCAATTATATGCCAAGAGTGTAGTTAGTTTTGTAAGAAACTGCCACACAGTCTTCCATAGTGACTGAACTGTTTCGTACTTCTGTCAGCAATGAAGGAGAGTTCCTGTTGCTTCACATCCTTGACTGCATTGAACTTTATCAGTGTTTTGGACTTCTGCCATTATCGTAGGTGTGTAGTGGTATCTTACTGTTTTCATTTGCAATTTCCTAATGACTTATGATGTTGAGCATCTTTTCATATGCTTATTATTTTCTGTATATCTTCTTTACTCTTTTTAAAATTGGGTTGTTCATTTCCTTATTATTGAGTTTTAAGAATTCTTTGTATATTTTAGATGACAGTATGTTATCAGATATGTCTTTCACAAATATTTTCTCCCAGTCCTTGCCTGATTTTCTTATTTCCTTGACAGTTTCTTTCATAGAGCAAGAAGTTTGTAATTTTAATAAAGTCTAGCTTATCAATTATTTATTTCATGGTTCATGCTTTTGATGTCATATCTAAAAAGTCACTTGAACCCAGAATCATCTAGGTTTCCCCCTATTTTTCTGCTAGTGTTGTTTTGTGTTTTACATTTTGGTGTATGACGTACTTTTAATTTACTTTTGTGAAGGGTGTAAAGTCTGTGTCTAGATGTGTCAATATATTATTGTATGTAGATATCTAGTTGGTCCAGTATCATTTGTTGAAAAGACAATCTTTTCCTCCACTGTATAGTCTTTGTTTCTTTGTCAGGTTTGGTCTATTTCTGTAGCTTTAGAACCAGCTATATAATTTTGGTTTTTCTCTATTGAGTTTCTGTTGTCAATCTCATTCATTTCTGTTCTAATTTTTAAAAAATATTTTTTGCTTACTTTGGATTTACTTTTTTTTCCTACTTTTCTAAGATAGAATCTTAGGTTATTGATTTTAGATCGGTTTTCTTTTTTAATATATGTATTCAAGTGCTATAAATTTTCCTCTAAGTAATGCTTTTGTTGAACCCACAAATGTGGATAGGTTGCATTTTTATTTTCATGTATTCATAATATTTGAAAAAATTGAGATTGTGCTTTTTTTTTGCCCATGTGTTATTTAGAGGTGTGTTGTTGAGTTTCCAGGTATTTGGGGGTTTTTCAGCTGTGTTTCTGTTTCTGGTTTCTAGTTGAACTCCACTGTGCTCTGAGGGTGCATATTGCATGATTTCTGTTCTTTTAAGTTTGTTAAAGCATATTTTATAGCCCAGATTATAGTCTGTCTTGGTGAATAAGATTATCTTCCTCATTGTACTGAATTGTAGATTAATGAAAGGATTCAAAAATAGTTATGTTTTCCATCAGCGATAGAGACAGCACTTTATCTTCAACTTCTGTGATCTCTTCTAATGGGGGAAGATCTTTTGTTTTGGTGCTTTGTTCCTATGTATGTGGACCTAGGTCTCGGCATGAGTGGTGTCTGTGGAAAATCTAGGCTACTCGCCTAAAATACATATGCGCAGTAGTGCGGGTGTTTTACGTTATGGATCTGTACATGATTTATTTTTATATTGGCTGAGGTAACATGTCAAATCAGCTGGAAATTTTTTTAAATTGGGGGATATTTAACATTTCTCAGAGATTTGCAACTAATAACTTTTCATTATTGTGTTTTTAAAATGTGATTTTTTTTATTCCGTTTAGTTTTGTCAGCCCAGTGGGTGGCAGCTGTCCAGAGAGAGGAAGCAGCCGACGTTTTTTGTGGTGGTCCTGACAGATATCGACTCGGATCGACATTACTGCTCGTGCCTAACCTTCTATGAGGCAGAAATCAATCTTCAGGTACTTTTCTAGCCAGAACATAGTCAAAATGCCAACATTTAGGAATTTTCTATGTCATATTTGTTTTTGTTAGAACTGTCAGCTTGTGTTTAGTGAGTTACTTTAAAAAGATCGAATTACTGTATTGTTGATAAGAGCAAGAGCAACAGTTACATCCAAGTTTAATTGTTCTCTTTTAAAATAAAAATCATAATCTGAATGCTTCTAAGAATAGCATATCTGTGAATTTGTTTACTAAGATTTGTACCCTGTCATGGTGAACCTGTAATTTTCCTCGTCAGCCCTTTTCCTGAGCGGGTCTTTCACGGAGCATAGAGTAGTTAATAAGGGTGTTAATAGATCACTTATCACAATTCTTGATACTGTTTTTGAAGCACCTAAGTAAATGTTACTCATTACTATTGGTGGTAGTAGCAAGATGGTGGGACAGAAATTTGTAGGCTACAACTATAGAAATAGAAAATGCTGAATCTTTCAGCTTATTGGTTGGGATTCTTAGTTTCAGACAACTGGATATACTTTCTCTGATTTGTGCAAGAAAGGATTTATAACAATGTATTATTGGGCAGTGTATGGAATTTCATGGGTGGGTGAAGAGTAAGCTGGAAACTAATTCTGGGTACTAGGAACTGCCTAGTCCAGTTGGCAGTCACGATGTTGGGCACTAAACAGTGTTATCTTCAGAAGTGCCCTAAAAATTCCAGTCTCTTATGTGCAGCCAGGTTCTCAAATTGTTGACTTCTTTAAATTTCATATGGGTAGATGGTTCCCTGAGAAAGTCAGATTCACATGCAAATCCCACTCCCCTGTAAAGGAATCAGGAAAACCTTTTTCTTGTTGTTATTTGTTTGTTTTGCTTTCAAGGCTCAGTAATACAAGAGAGAAACTATAAGGGAGTTTGGAGGATTTTGAGAGAGTCAGTTTGCATTATTTGCTGTACTTTCTGCTATATACAGATGAATGGGTATTACCAACAGTGAAAAGGATTGGCTTGCTTCCTGAAATGGCCTCACAAAGGAGCATTTGTTTTTTTTGGTTACTTTAATTAAATTCCAAGATAAGAATTTTCTAGATGTAGAAATCTGATTTCCAGTACAAGGGGAGACAAATCACTTTTCATGATACAGATTCACATTATTCGAGTTTATATTAAGACTAATGTATTAAAACCAGCATACTAGTTTATTAATTTACAGTGATATGTTAAAAGGTTAGATAGAACAAAATATATTTTATCTGCATTATCAGCACATTCTCTTCTTGTCAGATTTTTGTGCAAAACCGTATCAAAATCAGAAGCATTTTGATTGTGGAATCAAACTAAGGAGTAATGTCAAATAGTTAATGACTGTCAGACCAACAGAGTCCATTGTTTATATTTGAAATGAGGCATTATCTTGTCAATGAGGACAGATAGCTTAGAAGTCTGTGACTATGGTCATCTCTGTCCTGGATAATGTTTGGGTGGATGTTACCAACAAATATCTAATCAAATTCCTATTTTGATTAATTCAGTCTAAATAAGAAAGAGTATTCCCTAGTCAACAGTGTCTTTTTCTCAACTTTTAGGTGACCTTTCTATTTATCTGTGTTGATCTTTAGAATTTAAGTTGGCCCTGAGAATACAACATTCTCTTTTATTTTCATATTCTTGGGGGCATCTCTTTACAACTCTCTTGTATTATCTAGTGAGCCCTTGCCAGTATGGCCCGGTGATGATGCCCAGTTGGTGGGAGCATCATCTAAAATCAAGAAGTTGGGTTCAGTTCCTTGTCAGGGCACATACTTAGGTTTTGGGTTCGTTCCCAGTCCAGGCCTATACAGGAGACAGCCAGTCAGTGCTTCTCCCTCACATTGTTTCTTTCTCGCTCTTCTCTGCCTTCCTCTCTCTCTAAAAGCACTGATTAAATGTTCTCACGTAAGGATAAAAATAAACGAGTAAGTAAATAAATGAATTGTTTAGAATTGCCTAATGAAATTAACTGAAATTATTTAGGTTTTCGCTCCTTTCTCCTTCCCTACCACCCTTCTAAAATGAACTGATAGAACACTAGTACTCTTAAGACAGTGTAGGGGGTTCCAATCCAACATGATGACATAGGAAGCTCCTGAGCTCACTTCCTTCCATGGACACTTTGAATCTACAGCTACATATGAAGCAATTCCCACTGCAAGAAATTCAGAAATTCGTGAGTAAGTGCTACACACTGAGCAAATGAGAAAATACCCATGTCGAAATGAGTAGAAAAGGCTAAGACAAAGTATTGCCATGAACCCCACCCCTGGAACAGTGACAGGCAATCAGTAATGAACTTAAAACTTACAGCTTTCCCTTAGGCATGAAGAGTTTGGACCAAATATCTAACACCCGAATGTTAAGAACCCATGTGAGGGATGGGTCTCCCAAACTTCTAGCTCTAGAAGTCAATAGGAGTTGTGTTCATGAGACCCAGCAGGCTATAGAACATAAAGAAAGAGTTCATAATGGGTTCAAAAGGTTTGCTGTGGCAGTCCCTCTAGGGCTCAGCATTATGGAAACAAAGAAAAATGCCCATCTTCCAGTCTTTCAAGGATAGAGTCCTATTTTCATACTTTAAAAGCTGCTGCCTGCAGTTCAGGTGTCTAATTTAGCTCACATCTAGAGGTTGATTCTGATTCTCCCTGGAGATACAGGAGGCAGGCAGATACTGCCTTATTGTTCTCTCTCTAGCTTACTGTAGTTCATTGGTTTCTCTTTGGAAAGAGCATATACACATCAGGTGCCCTAGATTTTTCATCTGCTATCCAAAGGGACACTCTCTTAATCCCCTGGTTCTAGTGGCAAGTGGGGCTGGAGCTCTCCCACAGAACTGAAGCAAACAAACTAGATAGTCCATCCAGGGCTCAGCGCAGAGGGAGCAGACAGAAACACCCATCTCCAAGTAGTTCACTGAAAGAAATGCCCATCTTCTAATCTTTCCTGGATGGAGTCCTATTTGCATATATTAAAAGCTGCTGCCTGAGGACCTATATTTTAATCAGCATGAATCTAGGTGGTGACTGTGATCCACCCCCTTGCTGCACTGACAGGTTTTGGCACACCCTCAACTACAGGGAGGGTGTAGAATTTGTAGCATTCTTAGTGCTACAGGGAGCACTAAGAGTTAGGACAAGGTTGCATGATAAATTTTATCTCCTACAATTTGTCCCTCCTTGAAGACTAGGAGTAGTGGTTGTTTTATCTAATGCATAGGAACCAATACAGAGAGTCCAAGATGAAGAAACAATATGTCCAAATTAAAGAATATGATCACTAAAATGAAAAGAGAGCCAACCATATGGGAAAACATATTGGCCAATGATACCTCAGACAAGGGCTTGATTTCTAAAATACATAAAGAACTCACATGACTCCGCTTTAGGAAGACAAAAAACCGAATTAAAAAATAGGCAAAGGACTTGAACAGACACTTCTCCAAGGAAAACATACAAAGGGTCCAGACATATGAAAAGATGCTCAGCATCGCTAGTAACCAAAGAGATGCAAATTAAAACCACAGTGAGATCCCACTTCACACGGGTAAGAATGGCCATCATAAACAAAGCAACAAGCAGCAAGTGTTGGAGAGGATGTGGAGAAAAGGGAACCCTAGTGCACTGTTGGTGGGATTGCAGACTGGTGCAGCCACTATGGAAAACAGTACGGAATTTCCTCAGAAAACTAAAAATGGAACTGCTTTTTGACCTGGCAATTCCACTGCTGGGTTTATATCCTAAGAACCCTGAAACACCAATCCAAAAGAACCTATGCACCCCAGTGTTCATAGCAGCATGATTTACAATAGCCAAGTGCTGGAAGCAACCTAAGTGACCATCAGTAAATGAATGGATCAAAAAATAATGGTACATTTAAACAATGGAATACTACACAGCAGAAAGAAAGAAGGAACTCCTGCCCTTTGTAACAGCATGGATGGCACTGGAGAGCATTATGCTAAGTGAAATAAGCCAGGCGGTGAGGGACAAATGCCATTTCATCTCACCTTTAAATGGAACCTAATCAATAAAACAAACAAGCAAGCAAGCAAAATATAACCACAGACATTGAAATTGAGAACAAATGGACAGTACACAGAGGGGAGATGGGGGGGAAAGGGTGACGGGTTTTCAGGAACAACTATAAAGGACACATGGACAAAACCAAAGGGGTGGGGATTAGAGAAGGGAGGTGGGGGTGGCGAAAGCAGACAACTGTACTTGAACAACAATAAAAAAAAGAATATGATCAAACCTCAGAAAAATACCTTAATGAAATGGGAATATCATATTTAAAACACCAGATAAATAATTTAAATTAATGATCATAAAGATTCTGACTGAACTCAGAAGAATGGATGAACAAAGTGAGAAATTCAGCAAAGAAATAGCAAATGTTAGTCATGGAGCTGAAGAATAAAAGATTACACTAAAAAAATACAACAGAGGAGCTCAATATCTATCTAGATAAAACAGAAGAAAGGATCAGTGAACTTTAGGAGAGGGCACTGGAAATCAAAACAGAAAAAATAAAGAATAAAAAGATTGACAGTAAATTAAGGATCTTATGCTACAAAATCAAGCTGATCAATATTTGCATAGTAGGGATTCCAGAAAGTGAAGGGAAAGAAAGAAGCAGGAGATGTACTTGCAGAAATAATGGCTGAAAACTTCCTTACTTTGGGGAAGAAAACAGAAATCCAGATTCACAAAGCTTAGCAAATTCCAAATAAAATTAATTCAAAGAGACCAACACCAAGATGTATTGTAATGGAAGTGTCAAAAGTTAAAGAAAGGAGAGATTTTTGAAAGCAGCAAGATAAAAACAATTTGTTTTTATAATGCCTCTTATAAGAGAACCCTTGTGAGATGATAAGCAGATTTTTTCAGGAAAAACTTCGCAGGCCAGAAGGGAATGGCAAGATATATTTAAAGTGCTAAAAGACAAAAACTGACAACCACGAGTACCCTAACCAGAAACCAGT